AGTGCCGTGTCCCGGGGTGTGCAAGGCCTGCCACACGCTTCCTCCCGCCTGCGCACGCGCGCGGCACGGCTGGCACAGGCGACGTGGCCTCTGATCCCTCGTTTGTACGCAGTCTTTTAAAAAAAATATTGTATTATTATAATAATAATATGAATTTCTCTTTCCATTTTGCATCTTCTGGAAAAGTGTCAATCGTCCGTGAGGTCCTGCACAAAGAGGACTTCCGTGTGGCTGAGTCCGGCCTCCTGCAGCGTGGGGGGGTTGGGCCACTCCTCTGTAGGGAGGCAGGGCAGGACACGGCGAGGGAAGTTGGCCTCAATTTGGAACTTTTCGGGGCTTTCTTTTAAGGAGAACAAGAAGTCATGGATCACCTGGGAAAGAGGCACAGAAATAACTGCCAGCTGGGGGAGCAATGACACATCCAGACCACATCCATGGCATCTCACTGGGGGGGGAGTTACCAAACTCGCACCATCGCTGCACCGCAGACCCAAGACAGCCATTTTCTTAGTGTGCATAAAGCAGGAGTCATCACAGAGTGCCAGGGGAGTCCAGACACTGTGTCTGACTCTTCCTACACTATTATTTAATAAGGAGCAAGAAACATCTCAGCTTTTCAGGAGAAGAAAACTATTTGTTCTATTTTTTTTCTCAAATCTTCCTCTTCTAAGCTGGTGGGACCAGGTCCCATGACACCCTCCTTACCCAGGAACAGCTCTGGCTGCTAAGGCTTGCAGCAAATTCCAGTGGAACCAAAGCTTTGCTGAGCCACTCAGATAATCTCTTGACCTTCCTTTACTATGGAAATCCCATCAGCTCTGCCCCAAGCTCACCGTCAGTGACTGTGTGAAGTGGAATCGCCGCTCCACTCTGGAATCGTTAGGCAGCTTGAAAATGATCTTGACGCTCTCTGGGTCATCGGGATGAGGTTCAGGAGGAAGGCATTCAGACTTCCGCTCCTTCTCCTCCTGCAGCGTCTGCAAAGCAAGGAGGAGCCACAGGCACACGCTGAGCTGACCTCTGCTCCTGCACAGCACGGGCACCCCACGTTACCCCCCGGGGCACAGCAGCCCCACAGCAGGGAGGTTGCTCTCACCTGCCGCCGCCTCTCCTCTGCTAGTTTTTGCTGCTGCACTTCCTCTTCCTTCTTCTTTTTCCTCTCCCGCTCCTCCTTCTTCTTGCGCTCCTTTTCCTGGTCCGCACGTAAGGATGCCAGATACGCCTCGTCCTGCTGCTGCCTCAGAACCTGAGTTTGGTTCCTCTCTTCCCTGCAAACGTGAGCAGGGGCAGTTACGGCTCACGGAGCCCACAGGCCGACGGCAGACCCGAGGGTGCAGGTACAGCCTGGTACTCGCAGGAGCACACGCATCGGGGAACGCCTCATTTGGAGAGCCACGAGCTCCTACAAACCAAGCCACTGGAGGCTCTGCAGTCCCTAGCACACAAGCTGCTTCCTGGGCCTGAGTGGGAATGAACTGAGCACAAAACACTGCTCATCCACCGCAGTGTGACAGCATGGACAGACAGCACATACGCAGTGCCGGGGACTGGATTTCTGTCTCATACTTAAGACTCTTCACAGTTTTATCTCCTTCAGGTAACTCCTTGCACATTTCGGAAACCAGGGGCATAAGAACATGTTACTGGGTCTCCCCCAGAGATGGAGGGGCAGACAAAAGATCAGAAGGTGATCACCTACCCTGGACACATCTTACAAATCCCTACAGTTATCAGGGACTGGAGCTTGTGAAGCACTACCAGGAACAGTTAGAGTGCAGCCCAGGCAGCAGCACTTGCTCACTGACTGGCTGCAGCCACCAGCTCT